TTCTTTGGGTTTTCAATTCTGGTAATGGTAAGTGAGCGACTGTACACGTTGCCCTTCACTTCATGGCCTCACCCGCTGACTGGCCTGTAGCAACTGCTGTTTTCAACAGCACCATTGTCGCTCGCCGCGTGCTAGAGACATTCGAGAATTGGAAAAACGGCCGCAACGTTTACAGTGGTGTCTCTGTGACCTACTCCTCTGATCCCTGTGAGAAGGAGCTCGCCTTAGTTCGCGAGAGTCGTGCCAACATGGGCAGAGGCTATGTGAAGCGGGTCATCCGCTGATTGAGTATGTCCTTCATCTGGGTAAAATTATCCCATCAAGGTGATGATTGAACCTGAGGACAAAAGACATTATCTGATCGATCTGGATTTACAACATGCAACTGGTGCGAGAATCTTAGGATTAAAGGAGAAAAAGTCAGAAAAAAAACTTGAGAAGTGAGAAGAAAAAAGAAAAAAGAAAAAGAAAAGAAACAGACTTACAGTGCAGAACAGGGATCTGAACCGTTTGCTAGTCGAAAGTCTTGTACGGAATGTTTGTCCGGATGCTGGAACAACGTGGCCGCCTGGTGCGCGCACGCATGATCCGGTCCGGGTTGCAATCCCAGGATGTCGACAGGCGCACGAGCAGTGGTGGGGATATTCCTTTTTTCTTACAGGGATATCAGATCACTGCATGTTCGGATCCTTGTTTCTGGACGTGTTTCTTATGCTAAATTGTCTTTTACTTACATTTACATCTACCATAGTAAAATATCCCTCTATGGATATTGTTACTTGAAAGGTACGAAGCATAATGTAGCGAAACTTGGCTCTCAAGGTCTGTCATCGTAGGCAACTAGGCAAGTACCCGTAGATAGAAGCAGTGATTTCGCTCGCGAGTACTCTGCAGTCGCGAACGAAGTTGTGGTATCAAGTAGACATAGGCAATCAAGTCATTGCTGCTGAACATTCGCGGACGTACTTACCACAACAAACGCCTTGTCCCGATACTGTACGCATGCGCCCGTGCGAAGTAGGTTTACAGAGTACTGGAAAATGAGGTAAACATCGCCCAGAAATCCAAATCCTTTAGAGTTCCTGTAGAGTTCCTATAACAAAGATTCTTTTTCATCAGCCTGTCTCGTTCAACCCACCTAATCCAACCTTTCTTGAGCTTCTGAACCTGGAGTAGTGGTTGGTAAGTTACTGATGTAGTATAGATCAACGGAATGGCAGTAACTAAGCGGAAGGCTTCTCTCTTGGTTTGGTGGGGAAAGAATTGGGAAAGCACGGATCGACATTACCCGATAATCCCTATCCTCCCCTTTTATGCATTCATATCGGCAGATCCCCTTGCTTCCCTTGCTCATCATCAGCATCAACAAGAAGAAGAACAACACGATTGTTCAGCGGCGGGTTGGCTGGGTAATCTTGTGCTGTCGAGGTGTATGTACACCGGTGGTGCAGGTTGTAGAGATGTTAAACCCCGTCTGAATTTGGGAGTAGAGGTTGGTGGTGTGGTGTATAGAGCTTACAGTCTATGTAACCTATACTGCGTAACTTACAGAGTATTAAGTAGAATGATACAATGCGAGTTTGTTTTCCTCCCAGCCGGTCTTGTTATACCTTTCTTTCTGGATAGAGAATGGGATGTTTCCAACAGTTTGTGTGCAACTGCGGAGTACAGTACAGTACGTACCTACATAGAAGAGACAATCGATGATGGGTTCAGTCCTTTCTCACTTTGCAATATCATCGCGTGAGGGCTAACTTTTGGGCAAGATTGAAGTGCAAGAAATGCAGGAGTTATATAATATACTAGGTATATTGATTCATAGGCCAAGGATATTCAGTACTATCCAGGTACTGTTTAGTGTTCCCCTGAACTACTCCGTTCAACTAACTACCGGTTAACAATTAGGTAGTATTGGAGCTTTATTCGTATTTTTGTTTTCTATGGTACTCCGCCGAGAGTTCGCCAAGGAAGCAAGAGAGAGACATGAACCCACCCTTTTTTTCTGACCCCTGCAGTTTAGTGCATCTAATCTGCAAAGCATTTTACTGAGTCAAAAAAAGGGGGGGAGTTTGGGGCTTGTGATTGGTAGCTTGGGGGTTGGCGGTTTTGGCGAATAAGGTTCGGTAGATGGATGCAGTGGTTGGTTACTGAATAAGGTACCTACTACCTACAGCCTGGAGTGTGGTAACTGCAGAAGACTGGTCTTATTATAATACTGTTCATGGATGTTCGACTGTTTCTTTCGAGAAGGATTCTACATCCAACATCCGACATATGATTTTGATAAGTGATATGTGGACGGTAGACGGTAGACGGGGGGGTTTTTTTTTGGCGAAATTGATTGGTGATTAATTGCTTTGGCTTAGGGTGGGTTTCGGATTGATTGGGGATCGAATAATGAACGGCGGGGACTGATAAAGAAAAAAAAAAAAGGGTTGGATGTTTGTGAGATGGAACGATGCGGTTATTGCTGGGGTTGCTTCAAATGTTTGGGGGCTCAAGTCTTTCTTTCTTTATGCAACGCTCATTGATTATACATAGTACTGTACTTTAGCAATTAGAATGGAATTCTTCCTTATGTTCTACCCTTCGTGATCGCGAGAATCGTTCGTCTGTGAGTCTTGCAGGACACATTCCATGGCTGACGGGGCGACGGACGAGAGATCCTAAAAATAATCCCTATCGAATAATACAAAGAACCCAAGAACCCAAGAACCGTGAAAAAGACCGGAAAGAAGTTGTGGCTTACCCAAACTAGCTAAAACTGAGTAATCTTGTCTGCCTACCGTTACCCATGGTCTATCGGTAAGAGAGCGGAAGTAGAATCCACTTAAATGGCATCTTGACTTAGAATAATAATCGACCCGGAGTGACGAAGAATCGATGTTGTTTACTAGTGGTTCTGGTCCGTGAGGAAGAAAACAAAACACAAGACTAGGTGTGTTGTGGTTGCTTTCCCTCTTTCTTCCCCCTTACTAGAGATAAGGGACGGGCGGAGCAAGCGGCAAGGTTGTCGATCGGGGGGAAGGGACAGACGGGGTCCAAGGGACCCGAAGTAGTGACTGAGGTAATCGGAATGTGCGCGTGGAGCAGACAATGTGAGGGTGAGTGTTCAACAGCACCCGTGGGCGTCAACCTCACGCAACCGGTCAGTTTGTTTCCGATGGAGCGGCGACACGGACCGAACGCCATTCGAGATCTGGACTTTCTGGTTTAGAGTGTGGTTGTATAGCGAGGGCATGATATGATGTCAGTTTAGCTTCAAACCTAACTGTTCGCGACAAACCCCCTGCCCTGAGTGTTGTCGCTTATCTGGCAGTGCTTCAGATGTCAGGTGAGCATGGGGGCAAAGGGGGGACAGAGAAGAACGAGTAGGTGGGTTAGTCCGCGAGCAGGGCTCACGGCGCGTGGGTACCTGAACTGTGAGCGACAGGCAGCTCCATCGAGTCTAAGACATTACTTTGTGGGCGTTCAGACCATTGATTGATCGGGCTTGAACCAGGATCGGAGGTTCTCCAATTTGGTTCATTTCGGCTGAATAGGGTCGACAACGAAGGCATTTAGTTCAATTTAGGTTTGAGAGTGGCGCAAGTTGACAGTTCTCAGATGGGTAGCCCACACGCAGGAAAGAGGGAGTGCTACTAGACAAGGTAGGATCAAGCGACTTGGTGGCATCTTGAGGCAAATACAATAATGTAATAATAATGAGCCAGTCAACGGTCAGTCAGTAGTCTAAGCGGCGGAGATAAGAGAGTCAAAAGCAGCGAGGGAGTGGGGAGGGGACAAGGACCCCCGAAAGGGACTAGTAGTGGAGAATCATGGATTATCCCTCGGAGGCCGAGGGGAAAGAGAGCGCTGAGCCGAGCGAAAGAGGGTCCTAGGGAAATTCAGGGAAAATTACAATTCAGGGCCTAAGGCAATTACTTGCATGCTTACTTCCTTCCTTATTACTTACTGCATTCGCCCCTCGTGGCCCAGTCAACCATTTGAGGGTCAACAACCTGGCATACCACGCTTTGAATGGTTTCATGCTGCCGTCACCATCTCTTCGGAGGATTCATTCAGTCATCCATTCTTCAAAGACGATCAGGGGAGTAACCCAGGGTGATCATTACGTATTCTGCGATAGCAATCTTTGAACTTCTCTGTAGAGGGTGTCTCTGTAGAGGATGTACTGTACTAACTGACTACTGAGGAGTTTACCAAGGTTACTTAGCCACTAGCTCGGCAACTAGCGTGGCCATGCAGTGTGTTGACTAACGCATCCAGCAAAGTACGGAGTAATTAGCCTAGGTTTGTCCATTCATCCATATACACACCACTGCAGTACTTCCTTCCTTCCTCCTTCCTATATATGATCTCTCCCTCCCTCTTTCCCCCATTCGGAGAGGTAAGCCTCGTGGTACAATTCGTTCGGTCTTCGCGATTTCTCTTCGCCTTTTGACTTCCTCCTGTTCCTCTTCTCTCTTTCTTTCTCTCTTCTCTCTTTTCTCTCTTTCGCTTTCTCTCTCCCTCCGTCTACTCATTCACTCGCTTTCAACAACTAATACTACAACGACTAACTACTACCACTATCACTCACATCCTGACCCTTTCTATCTACTATCCCACTAGTGGCAGCTCACTCCCGAATCGTCCCGTGATCCCTCATTTATTGGCGCATTCGTTGGTTGGTCTTGGTTCAAAACCGGTCGTTAATAATATACTGTATTCTTAAAAGGGAACTGTGGGGATTTTGGGTAAGTTCCTTCTTGCTTTCCGTGGCTCAGGAACCCGCTCTGCATCAGACGATCCATGAATGAATGATAAGACATGTGGTTCCCGTCCCGGGCACAACAGTTTGGCTAATATATTGCCTGGCCCTCCGCGCTCCCCCAGATCTGCAGTGATTCTCGATTCCAATTCTTCTTCCACTCTCTGTCTTCGATTTCCACCCTCCCCTCCTACTCGTTCGCCGCCTTTTGGTCTCGCCAAGCTAGGACTCGTTGACAACCGCCAATATGCACATCGTATCCTCCCTATTTTTGGCCTCTTTGGCCGCCACATCCGCCTTGGCTTCCGCTCCCACATGCAGCACCAGCTCGCAATGTCCTGAGGAGTACCCCTGCTGTTCGCGTTAGTGATCCTGATCAATCCCTGGCCATCACAAGTGTCGTTGCTGACCGTCTTCATCAGAGTACGGTGAATGTGGTACCGGCGCTTACTGTCTGGGTGGATGCGATCCACTTTCGTCTTACTCCCTCGACTCCTGCGTTTCCGAGCCCGTGTGTCAGAGTAGGACCTACACGTGGGAGAACCTGGACAACTCCGCCTTGAACACCAAGTACCTCGGAAATTCTTCCGAGACCGACTGGGTCTACAGCGGTTACCCTAAGATCGAGGACGGGAATCTTCTATTGACAATGCCCAAGAACACCGTGGGCAGTCTGTTCGCCAACAACCACTACGTCTGGTATGGAAAGATTTCTGGCAAGGTCAAGAGCAGCCGGGGTAAAGGTGTTGTCACCGCCTTCATCCTGCTGTCTGATGTCAAGGACGAGATCGACTTCGAGTTTGTCGGTTCCGACCTCGCTAACGTCCAGACCAACTACTACTGGCAGGGTGTTTTGGATTGTAAGTTGACCCCTGTGGCCCACACGAGTCCGCTGCTGACATTCGATCTCTAGACAACAACGGAGGAAAGTCCGCTGTTAACGGCAGTGATACTTTCGACGATTGGCATGACTACGAGATTGATTGGACCGAAGATGCTATCACCTGGTCTGTGGACGGTCAGGTCACTCGCACCCTGACCAAGGAGTCCACCTACAATGCAACTTCCAAGACCTACAAATACCCTCAAACACCTTCCCGAATGCAGCTGTCATTGTGGCCTGCAGGCCAAGCCAGCAATGCGGAGGGAACAATCCAGTGGGCTGGCGGTGAGATCGACTGGGACAGCGAGGATATCAAGGACAAGGGATACTACTACGCCACCTTCGGAGACATCACGGTTGAGTGCTACGATGCCCCGAACGGCACGGTCTCGAAAGGCGACAAGTCTTACGCCTTTGTCAATGAGGAAGGACTCGAGAGCTCGGTTGTGATTACCGACAACAGTACCGTTCTTGCCTCTTTTGGCGCTACGGGCCTGGATATGGATCTCGGTAGCAGCAGCACTACCAACACCACGGGCGACAACAGCACGGTCCCCGAAAACCGTGGAGGCTCGGGCAATGAGCCCGGAGCCACGAGCTCAAGCACCGGCACCGGCACCGGCACTGGCACCAGCAGTGGTAGCTCAAGCGATTCGACGGGTTTCAGCCAGGGTACCTCAACCGACACTAGCTCCAACGGCGTCGCCTCTCAAAATGAGCGTGTTCTGAGAGGCTCGTTCTTTGCCGCATTGGTGGCAATTGTCGTTTCGGTCACTCTATAAATAGAGTCAACAACCTCCGTTTTCCCCTTCTTGGACATTCTTATTCATATATTTGCTTGACTCTTACCTGGCTCGAAATACCGTCACTCCTTTTACGACTTCAGCGTACCATTCTTACCTCTTGATGTTTTATACCTGGCGCACTATTCGCCCTTGTCTGTTCTTGACCCCCTTACTCCTATTACTCTTTCCCAGTGGATGTCTTGACGTTTTTTAATGATCGCGCATCGGAGGTTGCGTCCCTGTTTTGACGTCATGAAAATGGCTTTTTGAAGACCTTTACTTAATACCCTGTTTTGTTTCCGTATTGGCGTGGGCATGCCGGTTAGATGCTTATGATGTGCTGTGCCGTAGATAAGTACCTTCAGGTCAATAAGTCACACCCTTTTTTAGCGGATTATCTGCAAATAAATGCACCAGTTAGATTTCAAGACGTCGGGTTGCTTCGTTTATTAGTTCATATAAGTGACTTTTTTAATCTCTGTGCGTTCTACACAGCCTACCCAAGGGACGATGCTCTACAAAAGGAAGTTATGATGTGGGGGATCAGAAGAAAGACAGTCCTGCTTTGGGGTCCTTTCCTTCTCTTAATTCATCCCAGAGCTCCAGACAGAAAGCCATAAACAGTTAGACCTACTACCCACGACAACGATTCCAATGACCCCAACTCCACCCTCCACTTCTTCTATCCTCCTCGACCTCAAGCCATTATTGGCGTACTCACCCACCTAGGAACACTAGTTGTAGAGCATAAGGAGGTTGGTTTCTGATTGGTACTGTACTTTGCCCCCCCCCCCCCCCCACCCAACTGAGGGCTTTGCTGCAAAGGATTCCGAGCTAATGCTCATCTTGTTCATGCAAATATTCGATTGTGGACGATTACTATGTAGGGAACTTGACCAACTATGAGATAGACATTACCAATTGGCCCTGATGAATGTGGTTGTTGTGGTTATGATGATCCAGCCGCCCGGACGCCAGAATGACCGTGCAAAGTTGTCATGACATGACGGTTGAAGTAAGTAAGAATGAAGAGTATACAATTGCCAGTTACAGCCGACTATCAGTCTAGTGAGCACCACCGCAGTTGCAGCCTCCCTCCGCCAGCGAGCGCTTGAACTCGCCATGGTAGGTGTCCATCCCCTCAGTGCGGACATCGGCACCGAGTGGGTCACCTAGCCAGCCGAACGATGATGTGTCGACCTGGTGCTCCGACGAGGCCACGGCCCAGTATTCGGACGCTTGCAACTTATCGGTGATGGGCTGCAAGTCGAGATCGAGATACTTGGTGAGGAATGATCCCACATCAATATTCTCGTTGTTTCCCAGGAGAGGCCAGGCATCCTTCGTGGAGGAAGCATAAATGTTCACGTCAACAGCTAGACGCGATGGTTAGTGTATCAATCAGCAATAAGATGAGGTGGACGCCATACCAGAATGTCCATGTGTCGCCCATCCAATCTGGGCCCTTCTGCTCACGATGTCTGCGAACACATATTGGGGAGTGATTGGCGAGTCGGGATCAAGCACGGCCCAGATTTCCTTCTCGGTGGCATCGGTAATGCCGAGATCCTTCTCCAGCAATTTCCGAACAAACTTCTTCTGTGCAGAGGAGTCGCTTTCCTTGGAGATAAAATCCTGGAGCTTCTTGTTCACGTATTCTGACGAGTGACTAGCGTTAGCTAGCACCCCAGGAAGCCACTTGTAATCCGGATAGGAAGCATGGAGCTGTCGCGCAGCAGCCAGACCGCCGGTCTCATGGTCGGACGTGCTCACCACCACTCCAGGGGTAGAGTCCTTCTCAAGGAAGTCCAAGACGGCCGCGAAAGCCTTGTCATAAGCCAACACCTCGTTGACCTGGGCAGCTGGGTCGTTTCCATGGCCAGCATGGTCGATGCGTGAACCCTCAATCATGAGGAAGAATCCCTTGTCACTGCCAGCGGTAGCCTCGCTGAGCGCCTTGAGCGCGGTGCGGGCCATCTCCTCCAAAGACGGATACACATCATTCTGGATACGGCGGTCGATCTCGAAAGGGATGTCCTTCTCGGCGAAAAGACCCAGGAGCGGCAAGTTCACAGCAGCGCCTCCGTCCAGCGAATCGAATCCCTCCCGGTCGTTCAAGTAGTGGAATCCATTCGTCTTCGCCAACTCAATAAGGTCACGATCGTCAGCCCGACAACTTCCTTCAGTCGAGTTAGGCAGGAAATGGCACCGGCCTCCGCCCATGATGAGATCCACCACCCGGCCCAGAGGATGCTCGCCAATCTCCTGCTCCGCGATGCGATCTTCATACTGCCGAAGGTTGACGTGGGAGGCGAAGCAGGCTGGTGTTGCGTCGGTTATACGGGTGGTCACCACCAGACCGGTCTTGTAGCCTGCGAGAGCGGCCGCCTCGAGAACTGTCCCACAGGGAGAGTGGTCGGGAAGAACAGAAATGGCACCATTGTAGCTCTTGAAGCCACAGGAGAACGCCGTGGCACCCGCAGCGGAGTCGGTCACGAGGCTGGAGCTCGACCGCGTCCTGGAGGTACCGATAATGTGCTGGTCCAGGACGAGAATATCGTCAATCGGAAGCCCTTCTGTGTATTGCTTGTAGTTCCGGGTCATGGTGAGACTGGCCGGGCCCATACCGTCCGACACCATGAAGATTAGGTTGCGCTTGCCGGTCGGCTTGCCCCCGGGGCCCCACGGATGCTTCGAGTGGTCATTGACTCGGCTTGCCTCGTGCTGGTAGACAACAGACAGAACAATCACAGCGACGGTGGCGAGCAAGGCCCATGTGAAAAGACCAACGTCTTTCCAGAATGCCCAGCCCCGGCCCTGACTGCGGTTGGTGCGTTCTCCGGTGAGCAGAGCGTCCTCTTCCTCGGCGTTGCGGATGGACGAGCGATCGGAGGACGGGCGCGAGGCCAGGAGTGGCTCTTGTCGCGCCATGTTCCTGTGTTGTTGCCTCTAGAAGACGAAAGATAAAATGTATGATTGCGCAGTAGTGACAGTAAATCTGAGTATTTAATGGAAATTGAGAAGGAGAGAAAGAAGACAACAGGAGAGAGGAGAAGAAGACGAGGACGAAGTCACAGCTGCAAGAGCAACTCGGGGCAGCTGATAAGCAATCAATGGGCCAGCGTGACCCTGACTTGCTGTTTTGGGAATGGCTTCGTACGGGGGATCGACGTCACCGCCTCACTTTGATAGATTAGGTAAGTGTTATCCATGCAGTCTCAATGCTCTTTTCTTTTTGGCATAATATACATACATGAACACAGAAAGGAAAAAAACTAAAAGTAGAGAAACGAAAAATAATACAAGCCTGTAGTGAAGGCTCCCTCCATCGCGTGCTAGTACCCTCTCACACAGGATACAGTTTCCCCAGCCTCGTAATTTACAGCTATCAACCTCCGCATCCGATGTCTTGAGTGTACCAGACCATCCACCATGAAAAACTCACCACAGAGTGATATGCAGTGAACAGTAATCTATCTTCTGATATTCCCCTTCCATCCGATCGGAATCATAGCCGCAGCGATCTCCGACACACCTCTCTCAGTAGCAAGCAGATTGAACTGGGCAGCCGCATTGCGAGTATCGGCCACTTCAACCCGCACGCCCAGGGAATTGAGATATCTCTTTGTTTCCGGCGATAGAGGAAAAACATATTCACCCATGCCAAGAATGAGGAGATCTGTTGGAGAGGGGGAACAAAGGAGGTTAGCGACACATCTATCAATCTTGTTTTCCTTTTCCTTTTTGCCTTTTTCCCTGGCATACAGGATAAGCAAAAGATGTCGTGACTTACCAGGACGAGGCCACACCAGATCCAATACACCCCAGGCCTGCTCGTCAAGCTCAAATTGACTCTTCTTGTTGATCATAGCATCCCGATGACCCCCGGGGGCTACCTGCCACGGACGCCACGGGAACGCCTCTCCACCCACGAGCATGACGCCGTCGCCACCGGTAATCTTCACTCCGTTGTTGAGGTGGAACCCGGTGTCCAGAGTGGCATCGATAGCAGTGGTCGGCGCGGGGATGTTGCCGAGGACATTGAGGGCGGCGAAGTCCGTCTGCGTGTCCTCCGTCGACTGAGGGCCGCGGTCGTGACTCGAGGGCTTTGCGCTGTGGGCGCGAGGAATCATGCGGGTAGGGCGGGCATTGTTGCTGTTGTACCGCGGAAATGAGACCGAGAGGCCAATCCGAGAGAGAGGCGAGCGAGATTGGGATGTGAGCTGGGCACAGAGATTGACGCTGCGGTCGGCGAAGATGGAAGTACGCAAGGCGCGCAGAAGCTGGGGTGATGGGGTGTGCATAGTGGTGGAGCTTCTGCGAGGACTCGCGGTGGGTGATGGTGATGTTGATGGTGAACCAGGGCTGTAAGTATTCCTGGGTTGATACTGTTGAGAGAATCAACCTTAAAGCACAGATTTCATTCAACTGGTCTTTAGAACCGTCAGCCTGGAGAGGATGTGCAGGGGCAGGAGCGATAATGATGTTAGCACAAAATATTTAAGTCCGTCGTTGGAGCTCCGGACCACTGCATTGAGACATTCCCCCCGACATTGGAACGCAGCGCAGGCGGCGCCCGGCGCATAACTACCTTAACTATCTTAGGCAGGCGGTGGCCGCATGATCCATAATTTAGAGCCAATAGGTCGGCGGCCAATAGTAACCTACCCCAGAACTGCTAATTTGGCACAAATACCGGCCCCAGACTGAGTATCATGGATACCGTTGGAACGGTTGACTATTGAACTTCCGTACCATTGCAGTGGTCGATCTACTCCGCAGCTTTGATGCTATCCTGAAAAACTCTTTTGTATTAAGTACTATGTTGGCAAAGTGCAACACATGAAGTAGTCAGCTAAATGCAATTCGTCTAGCACGTTTCATTCACCGTCCCATGCTCATAACCTTGGGCCGAACTAGGGGGCCAACTCGACGTCTCCCCTGAGATGGCAATGAAAGCAATGCCATACAAGTGATAAGTCGATAGGATGCCTTTGTATTCAAACGATTGTGTGGGACTGTATAATATGTCGCTGGCTTCAAATCTGAATCGCCAGAGTCTCGCGCAATTTCCACGACAGCTGGTACAAGTGGATTGCGAGACAAGGACGAACGATGCCACCCGTGGTATTAACGCCGTACCATCTATACAATGACTCAGGGCCCTCATCTTCGGCTTTCTTCGGTAGGCTTATTGGTAGATTGACCCTGACTTGGTCGACCTGCCGCGTCATGGGCGTTACTGTTCCGATCCTCGTCAGACTGACTGGAGCTATCATCGCCAACAGCGCCCGACGTTGATGCACTACGCAGGCGTTGGGCTCGATCTTGTAGCACTTGAGCTTCAGCTGCGGCTCTCTGGGCCCGAATCTGCTTGCGCCACATGCTTGCGTAGCGGCCCTTCATAGCCAGCAGTTGATCGTGTGTGCCACGCTCAACAACGCGTCCTTCATGCAGAACTAGGATTTGGTCTGCCGTTGTAATTGTGCTCAACCGATGAGCAATGACAAGCATGGTACGACCACGAGCAAGGCTAGCAAGTGCCCCTTGGATGTGCTCCTCCGTCGCGGTATCGAGAGCGGCGGTCGCCTCATCCAGAAGGATAATCCGCGGATTCTTGAGGATAGTACGAGCAATGGCTACCCGTTGCTTCTCTCCTCCACTCAACCGTAGGCCACGCTCGCCGACTTTAGTGTTATACCCGTCGGGGAAGGACAGGATCTTGTCGTGGATGCTAGCCGCTCTACACGCTTCATATACCTCCTCGTCCGTGGCGTTCTGGTTGGCATATTTCAGGTTGTACATCAGTGTCTCATTGAAGAGGACAGTGTCCTGGGGCACAACGCCCATGTGCCGCCGAAGAGAGTCGATGGTTACACTTTCAACGTCGTGACCATCAACGCACATACGACCGCGTTCGGCGTTGTAAAAGCGGAAAAGTAGTCGGAAGACTGTGGACTTTCCTCCGCCAGACTCACCCACCAAAGCCGTCGTGGTGCCTGGTTCACAGTGGAATGTGAGGCCGTTCAGAGCCGGCTTCCGCGTGTCATACGAGAACTCAACATTCTCAAATGTGATCCGGCCGCTGCACACGGACAGAGGCCTTGCGCTAGGGCGATCTACAACGGTAGGCTGTTCCCGGAAAAGCTCCAACATTCGCTCTGAGTTGATAAGGGCGGACTGGATGGAACGGTAAAAGGTTCCAAAGAAATTGAGAGGCCCCTGCAACTGTGCCATGTAGGTGAGCAATGACACAAACTGACCTACATCTCGCTGCCCCATGGACACCTGATATGCAGCGATAAAACAGGCAATGAGCAAGCCCAGCATGAAGACAGTGTTCTGTGACGTGTTCATAAGGTTGAGAGAAAAGAGAACGTGATACTCGGCTCTTTGATAGTCTGACACGGCTTGGCGGTATCTGCCGAACTCATAGTCTTCGGCATTGAAGTATTTGACGGTTTCATAAGAGACCATCGAGTCATTCCTGTGGTGATTTCGTCAGCTTCCGAAACAGTGAAACGTTGGCTCAAGCTAGCCCTTACTTGACGGCATCTTCCTGTCTGGACTTATTGACCATTTCCCTCCGAATCTCCGCCCTCCACTGCGCCAAGCGCACTGTGACGTAAAGGTAGCAGAAAGTAATGATGGTGACCACAAGGGCGTAGTATGCATCGAAGAAAATCAGGAAGAAGACAATGGCCACGCAAAGATCGACCAGCATAGGAACAACTTGAAAGGTGACCTGCTCGAGGAATGTGTTGATCGAACTACCTTTGCTGAGCGCAGATAGCACCTCACCCGTCTTCTTTCCCAAGTGGAAATCGAGACTGAGGCCGTGTACGTGTTCGAAAGCCGCGGTCGACAGCTCCATGTACGAGTACTGGCTCACAGGGATCCAAAGATTTGAGCGCAAGGATCCGATTAGTCCCTGGTTGCCCTGCAACCATCGGTAGAGAATATACAAGCAGATCTCGAACCACGGAATCCTAAACTCGCCATCCTCTCTGGAGAGGATGTTCGTGATGACACCCACCTGATATGGGACAAGCACATTGACAATGCGCTGCAAAACGATTAACACGAAACAGATGACCACCACAATCTGCAAACGGCGAGACTTGGACGGCCAGAGGTATGGAAAGAACAGGGAGTATCCACTCAAGTATTCCCACCAGCTTGTAGAAGGGACAGTGGTCGGGCGTACCCATGGATCGGTGGGCTTCGAAGGTTGAGCATGCCCGTTCGTCGCACCATGGCCGTTTGTCGCACCATAGCCATCCCCATTCTCTACATTGTGGGCATCGAGTAGTCCCGTAGTCTCGGTAGAGCCGTTCACACGGCTTCGTTCCCTCTTTGGGTTGACGTTTATCGAGTTCGCGATATAAGTCAGGACCATGGTGGCGAGGATGAGCACTCGGAAGCAATTTAAGACGACCCCTGTCACTTCCCAGGGAGTTATCCCATGTCGGAGACGACCACCAATAGGATCTCCAACCACTGGTTCTCGATGGGGCCCAGTGTAGATAGAGAGGGATGTGCCAAGAACACCGATTTCGATTGGGATTGCGATGAGCCATGGGACGAATTGAGCAAATGTCGGAGACGGATTCGTGTCCAACAGCGAGACAAGGATAATGGCATAGTCAAAGAATGACCCAACGACATATATCTATGGCAAATTAGAAAGCTGCTTCGCAGGACGGACAACACATGGCGATTACACAGGGAGCTCCACAGGATCAAAGCAGCGAACTTACCACAACGGACTGGCCGCACCACCAATGCTCCGATCTAGCAATGATGACATGCGACACATTCAGCGCACCTTCTGCGACAATGGTCAACAGAATTCCTACTGAAAACCATTTGAAAAGCAGCTTCGCGTTTTGAGAAAATCGTTGAGGAGATTTGAGTACGGTCATTGTGCTCCTTGACCGCTTGGGGAGCGGTCTTCCCCCAGGTCCAGTTTGCGCATTTTTGCTGTTGCGATTCACTTTCTTGGCTGCCAGGATAGAATTGGCAACAAACGAGGCGATGAAGACGAGGAGAAGGAGAATTGGGGATCCAGTACGAAGGTACCCCAGGAGTTCCCGAGTTGCATGATGAGGATCCATGGTGTGATGGATGTCCACTCAGTGACCGAGATTTTTCTTTGGACGTTCAAGGTATAATTTCCATGACACTGCGACCGCGACCTTCTCTCCAGGACGAGGAATATAGATGACAGGCGGTGAGAACTCGGAGTGCGGGAAAGTACTCGAGGTTCGAGGCGAATTATGATCGGGGATTCGTCGAACGAAGAAAGCCGGGAGTTGAACGAGAGCCGGCGGACACGTGGGAAGTAGCAAAGTTATGTCTGTCTTGTAATGTTCTATTAAATTTTAAGAGCAAAAGAAATCCTTGACGCAAAAAGACAGGAAGAAACGCAGATATGAGAATTGAAAGGGAAGAATTTTTTAGAGAGAAAAAGGGCGAAAGGTTAAAAACTTAAAATGAGGAAAAAAAGGGACTGTAATAGATACAGGAGAAGAAGAATACAGGTTGATTAAGCAAAGACTATAAAGAAGAGTAAAAGGTTGGCAACCGGAGGTGTACGTTGCACCAATATCTCTGATCATGCAAGAAACAAATTAAAAGAAGAGGAGGGGAGGGAGGAAAGGGAAGGGAAAGAGGGAAAAAAAAGGACAGGATAGACCAGAGGCACACGAGAGGAAAGGATCGTTGGATACAAATAGCAGCTTGACGAGAGCAAGATGGAATGACGGTGTGGATGCGGAAGAAGTCGAGAACCAGAACTGCACTAGCTTGGGTTTCCAAAGCTAGTTCCGTATTAAGCTTGGTTGGATCCGGAAGGCGAGGGGAAGGACCTGGAAAATAATAATAATATCCAGCATTATTATTATTATTATGATTATGTTTCCTTAGAGCCAAAAAAATAGAAAATTCGAAAAGGAAAAAAGAGAAAGAAAAAGAAAAAAAGAAAGGCAGGGGAAAAAAAAGCAAAATAACAGCAAAACAACGAGGGAAAGAAAGCAAAGAAGAACAGAAGGAATATCCGCCCTACGTACCTCGCCCCAACGGTCGTTTTCATTATTCCCGGCTGATCAGATGCAGGCAGCATCGGAGGTTTTCTTTCTCACCTGCGTTCTCTCTGTCTCTCTTAATACCTTTGCCTCCCACCATCCCCTCCTATGCGCAGTTTAATGGTATGAGTCAAATTAAAATAGAAAGGGTGGGTGAGGGCCTCATCAATCAGAAAGGATAGATCATGGTCTGGAATGATCAAGCTACAGGGTAGTACGTATTCCGTTTGTCTCTCCAGGATGTACCAGCCGTTGTATACACCCTTCTGGTCGAATCCCGTGGAGATTTAGAGGTGTAGAGGTGCATCATACCCAATGAGAACAGGGGTTGGAATGAAGGTTTCCGTGTGCTGAAGGAAAAGAATCCACTCAAGGGGATGAACAATGAGTTCTCAAGCACTACTCCGTCTATTCAAGAAGAATGAGACAGATGATGGCGGATGAGGGGAGGTGAAGGCCTGTGGGGTAGGTTGGTAAGTCGGTAAGTACGTAGTAGAATAGATTGCACAACTGCAAGTTACCGCCAAGTTGATACATAAAGACACCATGAGGCACACGCATGAGCTCCGCCGATGGCGACAAGCGAGAAGCAACTGGAGGGGGTCACTTGTAGGGGTATGTCATGACAGATCTCGATGGAGGAGGGCTTTGCGCAGATCGATGCGAGAAGGTGACAATGGGACGAGGACGAGGAGGACGAATGATGGAAGGCCTGGGCTGCCGCAGCAATTAACCGCTCGGGGATTCTCTGGAAGACTATGTGCTGGGATGGAAGAGAAGCTCTCTGAGTGGTCTGTGACCCCGGTTGGAGCAAAGACACATCACGGCCCAGATGCCGGTCCATCAACTTTGACCCCTCCTCCTGCTGGTGCTGGTGTTGCTGAAAGATAAAGACCATGGCGCTCACAGGATGAAATACGGGCGGGATTGTCGATGAATCAAAGCCCTTTCAGATGCAAGTGTTTTCGCTCGAAGGATGCGTAGGTGGCTGGCAAGTTTTCAGGGACATCTGTCGGTATGGACTAGTCTGGCCAAAATCAAATATCTAGATGAATACAATGTATACATTGTTGAATGGCTATCAGAGTACACTCTTGGGGTTAAATATATAATTCATCTATTGAGGCCGTTGCGCCACCCATCCCGTATATCGACATGGACAGAAACGATATAGAGGCAGTACAGAATTAGAAAACAAACCCTCCCCCTTCCATTCAAGCTACCAATATAACCACGCATCAGCCGACTATAACCAAAGAGCAAGCGTCTCTGATGGTGCGGGGAGAGGGTGTTCTTCATCCGCGACAATTATGCGCATCCCTCACGATTTCGACGAGTCATTCGGTAACCGCCCCAGACTAGTTCCATTTTAGCTTGTCCCACCTTGAAGTCCCGAATGTCCGGATGATCTAAAACAACGCCTGGATTGTACAGCACCGGACCATTGGAGTAGTGAGACAATGACATGGCCACCCAACTGCTTGATCTCGGACTTCCTGTCTCAATTTCCGCACCGCTCAACATGCATGGGAAGAGTCTACCGATAGGTGGCGGTCGATTTAAGCACCTCCCTAGGGAGAAAAGTGAGAGGGTAAGACAACCATGATCATCATAGGCGGGTGTCGTAATTATGCTTGCAGGTTGGACAGGAACAATTCTTGATCCGACCGAACCCCATCGACTCGTGACTGCACACCGCCCTGAACCTGCATGCATCCCTTGTCTGCATCCATCCATACTACTATACAGAGAATAATGTTTTTTTTCCGCAACCAACACCCTCTTCCCTCCAAATATCTCTTCCCCGGCTTTCCTCTCGTTCTCATGTGGCTGGATGGCCAAACGGGAAGAGGAATCTTGTTTGAGCTACCGTTTACAAGCTATTTAAGCTAGTTTCAGTAAAGTTGCTCCCAACATAGGCAGCAATCAGATCGGGAGGCGAAGGAATAATTTCGATGATACGGATACCGAAAGCTATAGATCAGTCTCCAGCCTGCAGAAAGTCAAGCAAACATAGCAAACTGATCGTACGGAGTTCCCTCCGTACAGTTCCCAAGAACACCAAACTCAACAACACCCGGTAAGTCACAGTACTGTATGTACTGTACAGTACATGAGTACTCTAGTTGGCTCTCCCTCTTCCTATGGAGATCGACGAGTTTTTGCACATACAGTGGACAGTATATTGTATCGACCTCAAATCTGCGTTACCCTTCGCCGCGCAAGCAGATACTCGTCGTATATATCACGGGGTAAGTTGAATTTACTTGACTATTGCCACTGGTTACATAATCACTCGCCCCCAGCTTGGAGCTTCGGCTCTAAACCAATTCAGGTATCAAGCCGTGTCATCCATTGAACCGGCAGAATTCCATCCAAGGCGGTTTGTTGCTCCATTATTGCACTGTCCGCCTCACATTCCTGCACTACTACTACAATTACTTACTGCTGGTCCTCGACGGTATCACCTCAATATCCAATCATACTCATGATTTACCTTTTCTTCATAACATCCACCTTCATCTTGTTTCCCGGGTTGAATTCATAGTTCCAGGAATCAGCTGCCCCCCCCCCCCCCCTTCTTCGAGTCTCATCTTCCGCCTCCCCCTTTCGTTCTCCTTTGGCTTTACCTTTCCAGGTTCCTTTCCCTTCCTATTCCCCACCTCTCTTCTGTGCATCACTCTTGTTTGTTCGTCGGGGAAAAAACCTTCACAGCCATGGAGCTCCAGTCCTCATCCGGTTAAGTCATGCATGACTGACCTCTGAGAGAGTCTCTGACCCTGGAAATCATGGCCGACTTCTCTCGATTGCCCCCCCGAGGCAACACCTCCCCAGCGCCGCCGCCTCCCCCACCTCCAGCTCCCGTGCACCAAAGTCACAAGTATTCCAACCGCGCGGCCAGTGCTTTGGCAAGATTTGCCCAGCCTTTTTTCTCCGGGTCTCGACCTCCCAGTCCGCATACGCAAAGTGGTCGTGCAGATCTATCTGCTGGTCCCCGTTCCACTAGGTCCAAGTCCTTGTATAGCTCTCCACTCCACTCCTTTCCCCCCCCCCTTCCGAGATACTGCTTCCTCGCCCTCGCTCGACTCTTGCCCTACCTCCCCCTTACTTCTTTCCTCCCCATTAGTGCTTTGGCTTTACCTAGTAATTTGGTCCCGATGACCGGGGTGACGGAAGCTCTAAGCACCTTGAAATGTGAAAGGTGAATGAATCTGACATCTTCCTTAGACCTGGTGCTTCTCAGACGATCTCTCATAAGACTGGGATTCCTATAGCTGCGCTAGATATATCTCCCCAGCGGACACATGCAGTTATCGGCGGCAAAGAGATTTTGAAAACGATCCGTGTCTCGCCGGATCATTCGTCCGAGGAATTCAATCTTCGCAGTGCCATTATTAGCTATTCTTCTACTCACCATGTCGGGAGTGGGCTTTCCGCTCGGCACAAAGACCAGCTGACGGTCAGAGATGTGAAGTGGTCACATGGTGAGCATGACCAAATCATCGCCACCGCGGTGGCCAATGGCCGCATTGTTGTCTACGATCTGTATCGGACTGGCTTAGAATGCTGCCGGTTTCAAGGCCATAGCCGTCAAGTTCACCGCCTAGCCTTCAATCCATACCATTCATCATGGCTGTTGTCTGGAAGCCAGGACTCTTCGATCCGCATGTGGGATTTGCGGACAGCATCGGCAGAACGGGGCGTCTTAGTATGTGGAAGTACGGAATTATTCAACGGTAACAGTGATGCTATCCGTGATATCAGATGGTCACCGACCGACAGAGTACTGTTTGCAACAGCCACAGACAGTGGAGCTATACAACTGTGGGATTGCCGCAAGACCAGTGCGCCGTTGATGCGGATTACTGCTCATGATCGCCCCTGTTATTCGGTAGACTGGCATCCTGATGGAAAGCACCTCGTCAGTGGAGGCACAGACAGGCAAGTGAAGGTTTGGGATTTCTCTACTTCAGCAGAAAGAAGACAGAAGCCGGCCTTTCAGTTTCGTACCCCCCAGGCTGTTCTCAATGTGCGCTGGCGGCCCCCATCATGGGCGAGGGAGCCGGAGGGAGCAGGTGATTGGCAGTCGTCGCAGGTAGTAACATCTTACGACAAGGAGGACCCACGAGTTCACCTCTGGGATCTTCGGCGGTCCCATATTCCCTTCCGCGAGTTTGATCGTTATGACGCTCACGCCACCGATCTGCTCTGGCATTCGAAGGATCTGTTATGGACGGTGGGTGAAGCCGGCGCTTTTACCCAGACAGATGTTCGATATGCCCCTCAAGTGGTCAATCAACGGTCGACCTGTGCTGTTGCTTGGAGTCCAAGTGGAGAAGTGCTCGCCTTTGTCCAGAAGCGTCCTCGACGAAGTGCTCTTGGACCCAGCACCGCCGAGGTTGTAGGCCCTCGACAGGACGAGAGCAGCAGTGGGGAAGCCTTGAGTCAGAGCCCGGTGGACGATTTCCTTGATGACGCCCCGCTCACCTCGACGCGGCATCGGTATAGTAAGTCAAGTAGCATTCGACCGTCTAAGTCCTTAGGCAGTACTCCCCCGAGTGCATCGGAGCTTGTTCCTATTCTCCCCCTGGAAAGGTTATTGTCTCAGATCAAAACCCCAGAGGTACGTCAGCTCGGGTTTGTTGGAGGGATCCCGGGAGCCACACTGGATCAGGATACATACCAGTATCTAGCTTCGCACTATCATCCTCTGCTCGATGAGCCTGACATGCTTCCCAAGAGTTCTACACAGTCTTTGCTTGAATCACTTGGCCACAATGCCCAGTGCTCCGAAGACATATCTTTATTCAAGCTTGCTCAGACCTGGCGGGTCATCCAGTACGCGGTCATTCAGGAGCTTGAACTTAGGGCGAAGCAGCAGCCCCCCTCGCTCGATAAGGGACTTCGGGTCATGAAGAAACGCCCGTCAAAAGAAGGGCCAGTCGCGGAAAAGCAGCGGACAATGGAAGACGGTCGACAGGACAAATTTAAGAACAAGCTGATCAAGAGCGTCATTGAGAGCGATACATCAAAGCATCCTCTCACTGATACGGAGGGTGCTTCAACTATGACCACCCCGCTTGCGCAGCCCCTACCTGATTCTCCACTCGGGTCACTGGATAGTTCAATATCCCACATGACGTCCTTAAATGATACTACAGATATTCAACCGCTTCCTGCCTCAGTCCTGAGTCCCAATATCGGGACAATGTCTTCAAACGATTGGTCATCGGTATCGGACGTTGATCCTCGGCCAATCCGCAACTTCAACGAGAGTGGAGAGCAGGCAAATAAAGGCGCTCATTTTGCGCCGGAAAGTTTACCACCTGATTTCTTGCGCCCTTCTGTAGCCCATGATCTGGCAGATGACCAGCGATCTGCACCACGAGCCATCACCGGCAGGACAGATTGGCATATCAGAAAGCCTGCGGGTATTTCAAAGGACGCTTCTGAAGTGGATGATTATGATTTGAAGATGGAGGACAAAAGAGCGGCAATTCGTGATTACAGGCTTCATCCAAAAAAAGTACTGACCTTGGAATCTCGGATGGAATCTGCCAAGCCCCCAACGTTTCATCGTCAAGAGTCATCAGAAAGCTTCCCAATGTTCTCCGCATCAACGGAAAGTTCGCATCCTTCTAAGTACATGGGCACGTCTCTTAATTCTGCTGCAAGGCTTCATGATGCAGCGGGGACCGAGAGCCGAGGCGGGCAGGTGGATATACCCATTTCAAACAATAACAGAACCAGGAGTAGAGGAGCATCCATCCTAAATCCTGACATTGCGCATGAGACAGAAATGCTCATCAGCGAGTCGTTCGAGGAAGAGCCTCCAGGCTCTGATACCATTCATCTTGACCGGCCGTCCAGCCCGCCTCCGCTCCTCAAAGAGAGCCAACCATTGGAGTCTCGTACTTTCGAGGAAAGGTCTCAATCAGGGCCCAATGAGTGGAGTGCTCAGAGCACCTCTGGAGTGTTGAAACAATTTTCGGACGTCAGCATTCCAATTACTCCCGATACAACCCCTAACAAGCCCTGGAGTGTTGAGCTACTGTTCAAGGAGGCGATCAGACACTATCATAGTGGCGCTGTTGTTGACATCCAGTCTGCTGCTCACCTGCTCTTAATGTTGCGCGCTCTTTTTCAGGAATGCGACAAGATCCTCCCCAGCGAAGAGACTGAATTCATTCTCAAAGCCTACAACGAACAATTATTACGACAGTCAATGTACAAGGAGGCGGCCGAGCTCCGGCTACTCTGCGTGCCGTCCTACCCAGCAGTGTACGAATATGCCCAGGCGGACACATACATGAACGTGTTCTGCTTCTCATGCAAACGGCCATATGAGAACCCAAAGAGTGACAATGGGCGATGCTATCGTTGCAACACCCCACAGGATCCGTGTGCTATCTGTATGAGTGTTGATCCTCCTCCAGAATGGGTCGCAGAGCTATCAATGTCCTCGGATCACTCCGATCTTGGGTCAGGATCACCATATACCTTGTCCGCTTCGCATTCCTCCTTGGTGACAGAATCTATACCTCAATACGAGTTACAGCAAATGGACGCTATGTTCTCCGAAAATACTCAACCGCGTCGGCCCAGAGGAGCCACTCTCTGGACGTGGTGTCAAGGCTGCGGCCACGGCGGACATCTAGCTTGCATCAGTACTTGGCTAAGCGATGTATCCATCAGCGAGGGTGGCTGCGCGACCCCGGGGTGTATGCATGACTGTGGTCCAGGGTCCCGCCGTGAACACAACCGGTCTGTCCTGCTAGAGGAGTCCAAGAAACGAGATTCCGCCGGCCGCAAAGCAGGTGCAGGCTTTGTCAAACGAGACACATGGGCCAAGGGGGAAAGCAGGGCCGTGGAGAAGGTGCGTGGTATGTTGGGGGTTGGTGCATCAGCTGGAAGCACTTCAACCACGGCTACCACCAGCGCTGGGCCCAGTGGAGCCTCCTCTACCACGATGTCTCCCAAAAAGGTGCGACTAGTGACACCTAGTGAACAAGGGAAGCCGCGGCGAAGTGGCCATCGGACAAGCTTTGGTGGCAGCGGCAGCGGGCTGAGCAATTGATACTGAATCTATTCATACGAGCGACTGACGCCATTGAATCGGCAGAAGGCTGAGCCGATCTATCTTTCTTTGCATGTTTTTGTCTGTCGTCTCATCTTGTAAAGTGAGACTTTAGCACCCAGCCTCGATTTGCCAGTGGACAGAAGTCCCAAAGGGTCGATGATGATGACTGTACATAATATAATGCGCCTACATTGTAGTAGTAATGTGGATGACCCATGAAACGGTCTTCCTGCCGCCGGCCTATCCAAAAAACAACTTCTAACTAGCTAGCACAAAGCTGTGTCCTATGATTTCAACTCAAGTCAGTGGTCTCCGGAAAAGCTAAGTTCAGAATTTTCGTTTCTTCTTGGCTGGAGCTTTGGCCTTCGCCTCGAGTTGTCGTTTCAATTCATCCCGCTTCCTGTCGGCCCGCTGCAGTTCACTCTCCTCTTTCTCTTGTTCCGCGGGTGGTGTCAATTCAGGCTTTTGTTCCTGAGATGCTGAACGGGCTGCTCGCGGGTCTGCTGGTTCTGTAGTGGCTCCTTCGGATGCATCATCCGAGTGTTCTAATTTGGCAGATGACGCAGCATTTGTTGGTGGTTGAGATTCCGCAGTGCGCTTAGTGGAGCGTGCAATACCTCCTATCACCCCCAACCGGCCGGTCCGTTTGGGCGAGGTCTGGGTCTTTGACTCAGACAGCTGGTCTGATAGTGGTTGAGAGGGTTGCCGATTTGGAGATGATGGCAGAGATGGTGGTTGCTCTTTCTTCTTGCCGCCTATGATTCCAAGGCCGCGCTTGACTGGTGCTGGTGCATTCGGTTTCGGTGGTGGGGGTGGTGAAAGGTCGTCGTCTCCGTCTGTCTCAGAGGCGGTTGCTTCGCTATCTGTTGCTCTGGGGGGAGGTACTGATGGCTTGGCCCTCCGGTCTGGGATGTCGACCTCTGAAGCAGAAGAGGGCGGTGTCTTCTCTGTCGATTGTGGTCTCTTCCTGCCTCCGATTACACCAAGACCACCACCTTTAGAAGGCTTCTGTACTGATAAATGCTCCGACCTTGACGGTGATCTCGTCCCGTGTCTTGCTGAGCTTGGCTCTGCACCAGGGCTTGGACTTGGCGTCTTGGCTGTGGTGCGTCTTAGATGCGGCGGTGTCTCTTGTCGCTAGGGCGAGAAAAGATAGTGAACGCTGAACTGCTTAGAAAGCTGAGTGGGCTGTAAGAACATACCTCAAATTCGTCGTCGTCATCCTCATTCCCACTGTCACTGTCAGTCTCGAGACTACCATCAAATTGGCGCTTCTCTACGGCAGGCTTCCGGGGCTCATTGTCGGACGACGAGTCGACGACTGCAGTTGAGAGCTGATTCCACCATCCTTCTGCTGGCGCAGTGAGGTCTCGCACTCTATCGGCATCACCAACCCCGGAGCCAGTGGCTTCCGTGGCAAGATTGGCCGCGGAGCTGAGCTCGGGAAAGGATACATTGGTCTCGCGAATCCAGGAGTCCTTGTCGAATGGCTCGACCCCTTTGATGTATTTGGCAGTATGTGACAGCATCGTGTCTTTCTGTCCCGGACGATGACCGGAGACGCCAGGGAAGACTGTGCCAATGTCGATACCTAGAGTTTCGAGCTTGTCGAAGAGCTTCCCTAAGACCCAGTCTTTCTTCATGAGCTGGTCGATCAAAACCTGTTCCCGCGATTGCCATACGGCCTCAGATTTCACCAGCGGCAAGAGCAGACGGTCAGTGGTCGCAGAATGAGGGTTCTGGGACAAATAAAACCTCCATCGGAGAGGGTTGAGCGGAGCCGGGAGCTTTGTTGTGGTGAGCAGGTGCAGGCTCGCACCCTCTGAGCCCCGGCTGAGCGCAGCACTATGCCCAGAGTCATGATGCAGCGCCTCTTCTATCTTCTGTAGTAGCACTGTGAGCTGATCGTTATCCTCACTGGGGTCGATGGTGGTGTCGTCTTCATCTGCTCGTCGCAGTATAGATTTACGATCCAAATGTTCCGACCATATGTATGTAAGGTCGGTGATATACAGCTCATATCCGTCCACAGTGAAGGTAAATTGATACAAGATAGTGGGGACATTGCCAGAGGATGAGAAATGCAGTCTGTGCCATCTCGAAGGCATTTTGACCGCGACTGGTTGGGTCTGCTTTAGAATGGTAGGTAAGTTGAGAAGTAAGAGCCGCTATTTAAGGCATCAGCGGGTTGGTAGGCAATAGATTAGATGCACGTGCTGATAGAGAAGGTTTGCCGCGGCGGCGGCGCGATCGATTGACCTTCCTGTCAACCCGATCTCTGGACTGTCCGATAACAGTGCAACTTGGAGAGCCTGCTCCTCATTTGACAGCCACTGAATAACTCTGTTCGTTCTTCTTCTTAATTTTATTTTTGTTTTCTATCGTATACTCACGAGAGATTCGGAATCATTCTGGGCCTCCCCCCAACAGGATGTCATCGCGATTTCCCGAGCGAGCAAGCTCGAAGCGCAGCCGTTCTCGCTCCCCGTCGCGTCATCCTCAGAAGCACCCACGCCGATATGACGACCGAGACCAGCAATACGACTCCAGCAGGGCCTGGAGAGGCGAAGAAGGTCGTCCGTCGCAGTCGCGACCGCGGAATATGAAGGACCAGGTGCGGCTCAATCAGCTTCAGGAAGATGAGCAGGTCCGAGAATGGGTGGCGCAGGAGGACATCTTCGTTCTCAAGCAGGCCAAAAAGAAGGCAGAGATCCGGGTGAAGGAAGGCAGAGCCAAGCCGATCGATTGGCTCACTGTTACTCTACGGGTGATCGATCCTACGAGGAACCCTCTAGATGATGAAATCGCCGATTCGGAGCTCGATCTGGTGGACCCCGATGGTGTCTTTGAAGGACTGTCGGCGGCACAGTTGCTGGGTCTAGAGAAGGATATTGATACCTTCTTGAGTCTGGAGAAGAACTCGCAGAACCGGGAGTTTTGGAAGGTATGAGGTCTCCTCTGGTCTTCCGGCTGGTCAGGATGTTGTTTAGACGATGCTAACCACTATCTTTTCTGGCACAGACGATGAAGGTCATCTGTCGAGATCGCCAAAAGATCACCGGGCCTGAAGGTCGTGCGCTCAGCTCCGTGGCTTCCGACATCAACCGATTGCTGAGTCCCAAGTCCTACGAACAACTTCAGACACTCGAGGTGCAAGTTAGGAGAAAGTTGGATTCGAACGAACCCATCGACACAGACTACTGGGAAGAACTTCTGCGCAGTCTCACTGTTTGGAAAGCTCGCGCCAAGCTGAAGAAAGTGTTTCAAGATGTCATAAATGAGAGAGTTAAGGGGCTGCGCACACAACAGTGCGAGGAGGCCGAATCTGTGCGAGCGAAGCTCGCTCCGCTGGCTCCCTTTATGCGGGCCCCCTCGGGGAGTGACGCTCAATCCGATCATCACGACTTTGAAGGTCTCGATCCGGACCCATTGCTTCAGGTTCGTCCAGAGGACAAGATACTGGAGATTGTCGATGAAAGTGCTTTTCTTGGTCAAGTGGTCAGTCCAATTGCACCATGTACCATAAATCAATCCTCGAAAGACTGATGCCAACACTATGCAGGCCCGGGAACGACAAAAAATCTTGAAGATGGGATTTGTGCCGCTGCGCCAGCGACATGCGGAGAAGCCTTCGGCTACTCCCCTGAACCAAGCAACAAACATGCCAGTTCCTAGTGCCCTAACTAGGTTCTCGGCCATCCCCAACGATGACTTTTCTCAAGCGACCAAGGCCCTCTATGAACGCGAATTGGCGAAGGGAGTGAGTGAAAACGAGGAGATCTTCACTGGCGAGGAAGCTGTAAGCTCCGGCGCCCAACCTTTGTGGGCAGGCAAGTATCGACCCCGCAAGCCGCGGTACTTCAACCGTGTTCAAATGGGCTACGAGTGGAACAAGTACAACCAAACCCACTATGACCACGACAACCCACCCCCGAAAGTCGTCCAGGGCTACAAGTTCAATATATTCTACCCAGATCTGATTGACAAGACCAAAGCTCCGACCTACCGTATCGAGCGGGAAAATGGCCGTAAGCGCGGTCAGTCCTTTGCGGAAGCAGGGGAAGAAGATACTTGTCTCATTCGTTTTATGGCCGGCCCACCGTATGAAGATATCGCCTTTCGCATTGTGGATAAGGAGTGGGATTACAGTGCCAAGCGAGAACGCGGTTTCAAGAGTACTTTCGACAAAGTACGTTACATCCCCCTTTTTTTTTCGTACAAAGAAAATGAGAATTGACGGTGTCGGCAGGGAATTCTGCAACTACATTTTCAATTCAAGCGGGTGAGTCGAGTCCCTGATCGACGTCTCATCCCGGTGCTATACTAACTCGATTATCTAGATCTACTACCGGAAGTAAAATCAAGGCGATTTTCGGAGTTTCGGCGGTATGGAACGCACGAAAAGCCCTAGCGTATGCCAGAGGCAAAATATCGTCAGATCTGGGTTCCACAGGGACGAATTCGTCCGCGTACAACGAAGAGCCGTTCTCGCTCTTCTGATTGGACTGCAAACTTAATCCATCTGATCACGTATTGGACTCTATGCCAGCCAAGCTAAGATGTATCATATTCGATCTCAAGCTACTACATGATCCGGCGCGCAGATCGTGGTCTCCACTCACGGAATACCTGTCGATGCTTAATTACACTGCACTCGAGATCTGTATATATTCGGTCAGAAATGCTTTCCGTGCCTCCACTCTCTCCAGCAAAGGCTCCCCCACCCTGGGCAGCGCTGGTGTATATCACGTGCAACAAATCAGAATTGAGGCGGGGGACCTCATGCTTCCCTCGCATGGTCGTCGTGGACTTGGGAATGGTGGTAACACCTGATGCGGCTTTGGGGAAACATTGCGTATTGTTCTAAGGTTCCGGCTGGACGGGGAAACCGGGAGAAGCAGTGGTGTACCTAGTATCTGCAGGACAACTCTCTAAAGACTTCTCATGGCTTGAGGAAGAGGGAAGGGAGAGGAGTTATCTCCAATTCTGAGAAAAGTTCTGCAGCTAATTTCGAATTGCCCTTCGTTTTCTTTGTTTTTTGTTTTTCAAAATTGTTTTTTGTTTTTCTATTTTTCATTTTTGGTGGATGGTAGAATGTATCTGCAGACTTCCGGTATCGCCATCCTCATTAATACGTGCATGACCCCGGCCCATCTGGCGCGGCAGGCCACCCAGGGACCGCCATCGCAAGCCCCCTCGGACCAGATCTAGCCTCCGTTTGGGCATTCGTGATTTCATGGTCTTCGACTGCACTGCAAGTGGACTAGAATACCAGTTCGGTTTCACAACCTTATGGGGGGCGACTCCCGCGGTTGTCAATGCAGCTACATTTTCAACACATGATAGAATAGGTTGGCTGGTAGACCATTGGTATCATCCTGATTCTTTTCTGACTAATGTCTACCATTTCCCTCCCCTCCTCCTGGGCTGTGGGAAAGGGCGATCTTGACATCTTGTTCAACCTCATCCTTGTTTTGAAGGACTAAATATGTGCAAAGACTGACTGATTGCAAGCCCACAAAAGAAGAAAGAGGGTTAGCAGGAGAGAATGTCAGACATACTGAGGGAGGGACTGATACCGTAGACAGACCTCAAAAGAAAAAGAAAATGAAAGGAAAGAAGAGACCAAAAAGACCAAGCTTGTACTGTACATTATGAGCTGGCATTTTCTTTTGCCTCACAGCTTCAATTGCAAGATCGGGCTCCCTTCGTCTCAGTGGTCACACGTCTATTTTTTTTTTTTCTGATTTATTTGAAGGCGATTTTGGAGCCAACCCCTCCTAATCCTCCTTTCCTTTGTTCAGAGAGAACCCTTTATTTTGCAGCAAGCTACTTGATGGGACTCTAGAGGCAAGGGTGTCGTCGAAGTCTCAATAAATTTATATAATATTTTTATTCCGCTGTGAAGCTACACTTCTTCTCATGTTACTCTGAACTAGTCATTGACCCAGCTCTCGTCACAGACTGCGTTCATCCTGGCTCATACTACTAGCACAAGGCCACAAGCACAAGCACAAGCACATTATGGATCGTTTCTATCCTTCTCCTCCTCTCAGCTCACACCCGGACTCACTTCCATTCGGCCGGGCTTCTTCTCAGATTGAGCCTGCGAGACAAACAGTGACCCCTCCCTCATCTGTAACAGATGGCGCTCGTTTGACCCCTTCTCACCATGTCTATCCCTGTTCAGCAATCGGAAATTGGACGAGTTCCCATTCCGGCAGTTCAGAGACGGCGATGTCTCACTACCACCTCCAACAACAACATCATTATCATACCACCCCTCTGTGGAAGGCACCGCTATACCGACCCTCTTCTTCTTCACCATCCAGCGCTTCATCTGAGGAAGAAGTGCCAAGTCTCTTTCCTACTCACGGCGTTGAGTCTTCCGAGTGGTCATCGCATTCGACTGCGCCCAGTTGCCCGGAGTCGAAACAAGTAAAGCTCGAACCAGGAAGCAGTTACGAAAGCACCAGAAACTCTCTGCTCTGGTCGCGGACGCCAGGAACCCAGCAACCTGGATGCTCGCTTGAATCTGGCACCTATTCCATACCTTCTCAGACAGCTGCACCGTATCCAACACGGCCAGATACCTTTAAAACGGCTTGTCCTACCCCACGGTTGCTACCACCGTCACTGGCTTTTCCGAGCTCAGGTCATGGTTCGTTCCTATCTGACAAGGTGAAGACCCATGCAAACAGACCAGGGTCCCACCATGAGGAGTCACGACCTAGTCTTGACGACATCGGAGAGGAGGCAAACTCGGAGGCCCCATATTCCTGCCTTATCGAAAAAGCCCTCCTTGAGGCTCCCGATAAAAAGCTTACGCTTCAGGATATCTACAGCTGGTTTGAGAAGCGTACAGTAAAAGGAAAGGATCGTGCTTCCAAAGGCTGGCAGAACAGCGTCCGACACAACCTCTCAATGAATGCGGTAGGTGATGCTACTTCGCGATTCTCCACGATTGCTTGTGCTGTTCGTTTCAGGCCCTTGGTCTTGTCCCGATGACTGACACGGTGCATCTTCCAACAGGGGTTCGAAGCTGTTCGAGAGGAGGAACCTGGTAAGAAGCCCCAGAACTACTGGCGCCTAACGGAAGAAGCCGTCAAATATGGCGTCCAGTCCACCACACGGTACCGAAAGCAAGCGAGTAACAAAAAGACATCGATCTCAGACCCACCAGCACCTCAGCGCCAGCGGTCAGGGGCGAAAGGAGGGAAAGCTACGAAGATTAAGGCCAAGCTCCGTGGGCGCCCATCAGGCGAAGATGAGCTGCGAAAGGACAACTGTCAGCGTGAAATCACACAACCACCACTACAAAAAATAACCTATGGTCATGGTTATCCGTCCACTACCACAACAACATCACCCGCGACGGCGTCCGTGATATCATCCTTTCATGTGTCAGTGCCAGTCACACGGTTATCAACCGAGTCATTCGACCTGGGCAATGCTGTTGGCTGTGCAGATCCCCATCATTATTTCGCCATGCCAGGAGGACAGGGATCAGACTGTCTGACAATGGAAAACAGCTTTCTTCCATGGGGGGGGGGCCCTACGTTTTCTGCCGGGCTGATGACCGGGCCTGGGATTACGGCGAATCTCCCCCTAGGGATATAGAGGGTGGAGTAACTAGATAGCGTCGTTAGCGAATGGCCATTGGAAATTCCGGAATATACTGTACTAGCTGTTCATTGAGTGGTCTGTCCATGTTTGAACCATGCATTCCTCCCTGTTGAATGTTCTCTTAGACAATAGGCTGTTTCTATTCTACTAGGTATCATGTGTGCTTTCTCGCTGCAGGAGCTGATGGGCAACTGATGGGCAACACACACGTGTGGCGCTTCGGAACTGGTTTGATTACTTTTCACTGGCTGTCTGATCCTTCCTTCCCGATTGAGATATATGGCCAGCTTACCAACTAGGTACCTCTTACTACTGCTAGGCATTTTACTACCTTCCAACAGCCTGTCTGCCATACGTGGCTCGGAGAGCATCATCGACTGCACGCCATGATAAGATGATTGAAGGCACATCCCAAGTCCACGGCTGTAGCCCAAATTGCCATCATTTCTAATTTGACATGAATGATCGCACACCCATGGCCAGTATCCTGCAACAAAACAATTCAACATGTCACTTCTTCCAACACGAATCAGGGATCAGGCAGAGATCGGTGCTCGGATCGAGCCCCCTCCCACCCCCGTTTCTATCATAGCTCACAGCCTGTCAAAAAGAAACCTACTTTTGATTGCATCCATTCCTGCAAGTATGCATGTTGTGTAGGAACGATAGGTATATTTTTTTAGTGACTCTCACTAATTTAGATGCTTTCGTCTAACTAATCAGTGAGCTGGGCTAATGCGAGCAACTCCCGCGGGCCTTTGTTAGAACAAAACTTCTGCTTCTCATGTTTCGACTAGTCCTGAGACCACCTTCCTTTTACCTATTCTGGAGTGGGGACGGGGAAGAGAAGCAGTTTTTCTCATTCTCCTTCATACCCCGTACCTATCTCCCTATCTCCCTGTCTCTCTCTCACTCTCTCTTCGCCCCTCCCCACTCCCCTCCAACGTCAATCTTCTCCTTGGATGCCCAAGAGGGTATGGCGCTACTACTTAGTACGATGTAGTAGTAGTAGTAGTAGTAGTAGTAGTAGTAGTAGTAGTAGTAGTAGTAGTAGTAGTAGTAGTAGTAGTAGTAGTAGTAGTAGTAGTAGTAGT